TCTTTATATTTTATATTAGATTTTATATCAAATGCATTTTTGATAATAATAATAATAAATTTTATTAAATATGTTAATAAAATTAAATTTATAAATATTATAATAGATTTATGATTCTTTTAATTAGTAAAATAATCACTTAAAAAAAGTTTCTTATTAAAATTATATATAAATCCTATGATATTAATGCTTAATAAATGATTTTTCTTAAATGTTAGATTATAATTTATTATATGCTATAACTTTAAATTTAATTGATTAACTTTTATTTTTAAATATAATATTACTTTATTTTTGATTTTTTATCTTTTAATTAATAAAGATTTATTTTATTTAATGAACTAATGTTAATATTTATATTAATTATATTATATATGATTCAAATTTTAAATATTTAATATTTTTAAAATAAAAAAAATAATTTGTTTATAATTATAAAAATAAATAATTTAATTTTTATTTCAGAATTATTTCTATTGCAATCTATTTAAATTATAATTTGATTTACTGGATTTAAATAAAAATCAATTTACTGAAAATATGATTTGAAATTAGACTATATAATAAAATTTGGTTTCAAATTAGTTTTAGTTTTATAATTTGAAATTAAATAATAAATTGTAAAAGAATAATATTATCAACAATTAATTTTAAAAAATTTATTAAAAAATTGAATATACTTTTATAATTCAACTATTGTAAAACATAAGATTTCAAAATAAGCAATATCTGCTATTGTATTAGTTTATAATAAACTTATAAAGTGATGAATTCTCAATAAAAAGAAAGAAGAAAGAAATATATTTTTACATTATCAATACACTATCAATACACTATAAATTATTAAGTTACAGATGATAAAGTTTCATATTGTTATTATACAGAATTATTTTCTTCAATTGAACGAAAATAAAAATATAATGGCACCGATATTGCAATATTAAGGAACGAGACGACGCCGATAAGGCAAAGAATTATTCTTTCTGTACGTGTAAATCCAGCTCGTGAATTCATAGGAAATTCTTCTTCAACTTCAACATCCGTCACTTAAATACAATAGATATATTCTGTTAATAATTTGTAACAATAAAAAATAAATAGAATAATCGAATTTCTTATTACTTTGAGGAGATGATGATGAGCCAATAGAAGATCGAAGATCATGATTGAAGTCTGATTCTGTCATTTTTGATGCTTGCAATTTGATCATTGCTTTTCTTAATGATCGTTTACCAAGAATAGATAAAGCAATCACACAACATGCTACAAAGATAAAATTCATCGTAATAATGACAATGTCTGTGAAATAAAAATGATAAGTTAAAAATTAAGAACTCTGACGTGAATGACGTGAATTTATTTTGCAAGTTTGAACTTACCTTTATTTTCTAATTTTGGTTTATCAATCCGACTCAAGCTCTTTACCAACGACCCAATCCAAACAGCATTAAAAGTTCCGGGCAAAACACCAAGGGCAGTCGCCCAGAGGAAAGGAAAAAGCTATGGATATAAAGAAATTAGAGGTGATAAATTCGTGTGATTTATAAGCAAAGAAAAAAATAAATAAATATTTTTTTAAAAAAATCTATTAAATTTGCATAATTGATTTATCACTTACATCGATAGAACTTACTGAGAAGAAATAACTTATTAGGTTGAAAGGTATCGGAGTTAACCGTAGCATCACAACAATCTTCCATCCTATTTTAATTATCTAAAATAATTAAAATCA